GGGAGAGGGAGGTGGCGCCTCTGCTCGGCGGAGGCTCGGCGTCCTCGGAGAGCGACCCAGGCTTTCGCCCAAAGCCGCAGCCGCGCCCCGTCACTCGGTCCCTGAGCGCTTGCGGGAAAACCGGGCCTTTACTTTTCTCTCTCCGGGGCTGAGCTTTCCGGGAAATGAAAACGAAAGCAGCCGGGGTGCGAAAGTGGCTTCGCGGCGGCCTTTGGAACGGCAGGAGGCCACCGCCGGGACGTCGCCTCTTCCCGCCTCACGCTCCCCCCCTTTCCCTCTCTTTTTTTTTTCTAGACGCGCGGGGAGCCCGGCATCCATAGTCGCCGTTCCCTACATCTCCTCACCTGGTCACAAACAAACCGGTCACATCGGACCTTTAAGCCACACAGACTTCGGGGAGCGCTTAAGCCCTGGCTTAATACATTAATATGCTTATTCTTATAAGTAAAGATGTTAATTTAGAAATAACTATTCAAATTTAAATGAAAAGGCACTCCCATTCCTGACCATGGGGGAAAACTGTGAGCAGGTGACTTGTGCGCGACGGCTTATCTGCTGTCCAGGTGCTGAATGGTGTTTCAGGGCCCCATCGAGTCCCTGCGTTACCTTCTGAATCTTCATTTTCAAACAGGGCACAGACCAGGCTGCTGCTCTGTTAAAAGGAAGATACATTCTAAAGGCCCAAAGGTCACATATGCCCACCCTGGACGCTAGAGAACTGCAGCCACTTACATGTGTTGTCCGTGGCAGAGTTTTTGAATTTCTGGAAAATTCCTTTTGCTATGCTGAAGAAGTAGAGCCTCAAAGAGAAGAAGAGCTACAAGTTCTCCAGAGACCACCCCTTTCTCGTTCACTGGCATTTAAAGTCTTGATTTGGTACAGATTGGCGGTAACATAGCCATAACCTGGAAGGAGCTAAAAGGCTACTACTGGAGAGCCAGTGTGGTTTCATAGTTAAGAGTGCCAGGCTGAGAGCTTCAGATTCCCACAAACAGCCATGAAGCTCATGGGTTACCCTTGGTTGGGTCACACAGTCATAGACTCACCTATGTTGTGTTGTTGTAAGAATGAAACGAGGAGTGGCATGAGAAAGCTATGAGGCATCTTGAGTTCTTGTGATAAGAAGAAGGTATAAAGACCAGTAAGTGTTATTGTCCCAATGATGTTTGTTGTGAAGCAGGACCATTCCTTTGCTGTCTATCAGTCTATGCAATCCTTGTCACGGGTGATCACAGACAGATACTTCAAAAGGAGTCCTATAACACAGCCAAGGTGTATGTTGGACAGGAAGACAGAACAGCCTCATTCTTGGTTCAATAGACATATCTGGGAGTATTATTTGAAGTCTCAAATATATCAGTCAATCAAATACTGGATGTGCAAAATGTATCTTTTCTCAGTTTTGGTTCACCCAAGTTGCTTTTCCATATACAGTATTCCTTTTTCAAAAAAATTCATGGTGTATTATAAATTCTTGTCTTCATGGTTAATTTATTACCAACAATTAAGAAACCACAGATGGGAGAGTGACTAAGATCTGATTTCTACAAAACAGCAGTCACAGCAGAAGCCCTGACCTGTGTAAACCTTTCACAAACAACCTGCTATATTTAAAATGCCAAAGAATATAAGCGCCGTGCCAAATCTGGGCAAAGGCCTCTGTCTCATATCCTCCAGCAAGTGATATGCAGGTGATATACAGTAGAGGGAATAGGGATAATACCTGTGCTGGATATAGGTCCCTGTTGATACTCCTGGATCTTTCAGTGGCTTTCGACACCACGGACCATGGTGTCCTTCTGGGTAGGCTGGCTGTGTTGGGAGTTGAGGGCACTGTTTTACGGTGGCTCTGCTCCTTCCTGGCTGACCGTGTCCATAGGGTGGTGCTGGGGGACAGCTGCTCTGTCCCATGGCATTTGTGTCATGGAGTTCCTCAGGGCTTGATACTGTCCCCCATGCTATTTAAAATCTACATGGAACCATCAGGAGGTTTGGGCTGAAGAGTCAGCAATATGCTGACGACACTCAGATCTACCTCTCATTTTCCACCAATCCAGGCAAGGCGGTTTCTGTGCTGAACTCGTGTCTGGACCTCATAATGGACTGGATGAGGGTTAATAAATTGAAACTCAATCCAGACAAGATGGAAGTGCTGTTACTCGGTGCTTCTCCAGACAGGCTGGAGGGTCATTTCCCTGCCCTGAATGGCGTTACACGCCCCCTAAGGGACAAGGTTTGCACTCTGGGGGGGCTCCTGGACCCCAGTCTAACTCTGGAAGCCCAGCTGGACTCGGTGGCCAGGGGCGCCTTCCTTCAGCTGTGGAAATTATACCAACTATGGCCCTACCTGGACGAGTGGACTCCCATGACAGTTACACATGCATTGGTAACATCTCATATAGATTACTGCAATGCGCTCTACGTGGGGCTGCCTTTGAAGACGGTCCAGCAACTGCAACTGGTCCAGAATTGAGCTGCGCGGCTGGTGAGTGGTGGGGCTGCTAGGGGATACATCAAGCTGATTCTGTTTAAATTACATTGGCTACCAGTTGCTGCCCAGACTCAATTAAAAGTGCTTGTTTTGACATATAAAGCCCTAAATGGCTTGGGCCCTGGATACCTGAAGGACCGCCTCCTTCCATATGAGCCTATCCAGCAGTTAAGATCTAGCCAGGGGGCCCTTTTGAAAGAACTGTCCCTCAAGGAGGTAGGAGGGATGGCTTGTAGACAAAGGGCCTTCTCGGAAGCTACCCCACACTATGGAACGCCCTCCCGACGGAGATTTGTCTGGCGCCGACACTGATGACATTTCGGCGCCAGGTCAAAACCTTCCTGTTCCAGAAGGCTTTTAATTGAAATAATATCAACTGTGGGTCCTGATGACAATTTTTAGAGTATATACTGTATTTTAATTGTTGTAAGCCGCCCAGAGATCTTTGGGTAGTGTGGGCAGCATATAAGTTAAAATAAATAAATAAATAATAATAATAATACCCTCACTGGTAACTGTTGTCGCCCGTATCACTTACCCTAGTGTAATCCCTTTCGGTGCTCATCCTTTGGCATACTCATGCTACTCTTCTGGGGATCCAGCATGCTAAAAATACAGGCACACAGGTCAAAGTGCGCTTAAGGTGACCAGGTGCCTGTGAAAGGAATTTGGCAGACCACAACTTATTCCCACCAATACTCCTTGTTTGGGGACTGTGACGCCTCCTTGGGCAGAAGAAACAGAAGTTCTCTTTCTTTCATTTATTTACTTTAAAAAAATCCTCCCTCCCAAAGGTTACAGGGTTAAACACCTCCCAAAATTAAAATTACAACTCAGCAGACACAAACATCTAATAAAGTGTAGTTTTAAAAAAAATGTTCCAGACTGTGCTCAGCCCTAAAAATATTTAGGTGACTGTGGGTGAATAAACTAAGTCACAAGGTTGCTGTGAGGATACAGCTGGATGGAAGAAAATCATTTCAGAAGGCAGGTGAGGGAATAGGGATACTACCTGTGCTGGATGGGGTTACACTCCCCCTGAAAATGAAGGTCCGCAGCTTGAGTGTACTCCTGGATTCATCCCTAAGCTTAGACGCCTAGGTCTCGGTGGTGGCCAGGAGTGCTTTTGTCGGATTTGGCTACAGTGACACATGCCTTAGTTACATCCCATTTGGATTACTGTAGCACACTCTATGTGGGGCTGCCTTTGAGGATGGTTTGGAAACTTCAGCTGGTGAAAAACTCTGGAGCCAGACTACTGACTGGGGCCAGCCATAGGGAGCATATAACACACCTGCTACAAGAGCTTCACTGGCTACCAGTCCGTTTCTGGGTCCAATTCAAAGTGCTGGTCATTACCTATAAAGCCCTATACAGCTTGGATTCAGTCTACCTAAAGGACTGTTTCTCCCTATATGTGCCTTCTCAGTGATTAAGATCAGCAGAGGAGGCCCTCCTCTCGGTCCCATTGCCAGCTCAAGTGCAGCTGATGGGGACACAGGAGAGGGCCTTCTCTGTGGCAGCTCCCAGGCTGTGGAAAGCTCTCCCTCAGGAGATCAGGGTGGCCCCTTCCCTGTTATCCTTCCGAAAAAAGCTAAAGGCCCATCACTTCAGGCAGGCTTTTAACAATTATAACTGTACCCCATTTTAGGAGATAATTTTGATTTTTTTCATGTTTAAATGTTTTCATCTTTTAATTTAATTTTAAATCATATATTGTTGCATTTGTCTTTTAATATTTAAGTTATTGTGTTTTTAATTGTGTGAATTTTAAGGTTGTGAGCCACTTTGGGTCCCTTGTTGGAGAAATGTGGCATATACAACAACAACAACAACAACAACAACAACAACAACAACAACAACAACTAAACTACAACTACAACTACTACTACTACTACTATTATTATTATTATTATTATTATTATTATTAGTAGTAGTAGTAGTAGTAGTAGTAGTAGTAGTAGTAGTAGTAGTAGTAGTAGTAGTAGTAGTAGTAGTAGTAGTAGTAGTAGTAGTAGTAGTAGTAGTAGTAGTAGTAGTAGTAGTAGTAGTAGTAGTAGTAGTAGTAGTAGTAGTAGTAGTAGTAGTAGTAGTAGTAGTAGTAGTAGTAGTAGTAGTAGTAGTAGTAGTAGTAGTAGTAGTAGTAGTAGTAGTAGTAGTAGTAGTAGTAGTAGTGCTTTGAATTCATTGGAATAAAGGCAAGGCATTCATGCAACTAATAAAATATATTTTTTGAAATTCATACCTGAATGGTGTTACTCCACTGTTCTTATTCCATTTCTGTTGTTGTTGTTTTGACTTATATACTGCCCCAAAGTGTTAGGGTACTCTCTAGGCAGTTTACAACATAATTATGAAAGGAACAACTTGTTTTCTCCTCTTCACCCCCACCCTGCAACCTGGGTACTCATTTTGCCAACCTCAGAAGGATGGAAGGCTAAGCCTCCTACCTGAACCCACTGTGATCAAATTCAGGTTGTGACCAGAGGTTTGACTGCAGTACTGCAGTTTAACCAGTGTTGTTCCCAACCAACAATTATTTTGTTGTTATGTGTCATCAAGTCACTTCTGACTTATGGCAACCCTATGAATGAGAGATGTTCAACATATTCTGTCCTCAACTGCCCTGCTCAGCTTTTATAAACTCAAGCTTGTGGTTCCTTAAGGGAGTCAATCCATCTCATATTTCATCTTCCTCTTTTCCTGCTGCTTTCTACCTTTCCCAGCATTATTGTCACTTCCTGAGAATCCTGCTTTCTCATGATGTGCCCAAAGTAGGACAGCCTCAGCTTCACATTTCTGCCTCTTGGGATAGTTCAGGCTTGATTTGATCTAGAACCCACTTGCTCGTCTATGTGACAGTTGAGGATTTCCATATTTCATAAAGATTCACTCATTATATGACAGTACAGAGACATATTCACCAGATTAACCAATTAAAAGGCACACTATTTGAATAATTTATATTTTTCTTACATGGTTAGACAGACAGACAGATATGAAGAAGGAAAGAGAGAGACAGATTATAGGAAAGCCACAAAAGAAGCTAATGCACTCTGTCTCTCTCTCTATCTCTCTTGCACACGTGTGCATGCACACACATGCATTTACACATGCACGCACACAAACATACACACACAGTGACTGAGGAAATGTGTCACCAAAAAGAGGAAACTTACATAAAATTAACATATTAATTTATGTGAATGGTTGGAAGTGAGAAATAATAAATATCATTTAAATCAAAATACATCATCTCCCATTTTAGTGGCAAAGACAGGCTTTGCCCAGGTACTAATTGCCAGTGGGTGATGTTCTTCCTATGATTCTTTATTTTTCATCTGCCTTCGGACTGGTTAGGTCTTTTGATGTGAGGATCCCTGGAGAAGAGCTTCCAGCCTTTCCAATAGAAGATTGTCTTCTGCGAAGAAGGACTCATCAGTAACCCAAGGTTAAGAACCAGTGCAATAGAAGGTTGTCTTCTGCAAAGAAGGACTCATCACGGCCACCCCAATTCTAACCTTCTGAAATTCTTGGTTACATCAAGTAGTAGAGAAGACAACAATAGCCAGGATAGGATTCCTCAGGAATTTAGAAAGATCTTATGAAAGAACATAAACTACATTTTAAAAACCAGCTATTAACCATTTAGGAAAAGAGATGCTGATGGGCTCTATCTAACCTCTGATTGGTTACTCTGGAATTCCACCTATTTCTGATTGGTGTATTATTGAAACTATAGATTGGTCATCCTTTCCCTCACATAAAATACCCTGAAAGTATCTTCATAGCTTATTCATGAAATACGGATTTTCTGAGAGAATGAATCCCACATGCAGTTCCTAAAGAAACCCTGATTGGTGGCGGCTGCTCCTTTTTGCCTCTGCATATAGGGAAATGTACACCTGCTCAATGCATTTGATTAAGTCACACATGAAATTTCTCTCAGGGCAATTATTTCAGGCAGTGCACCTAAACTGACCTGGTAGGAAACGAATGTTGGGGTGGTGATTAAGAAATTCTGCTCACTTTCACGGGATACTGGGGTCAACCCAGTATTCTCCTTTGATTTCCAGCGTTGTTTAATAAAATATTTAAGTCTAATCATGTTGCGTCAGAGAAGGGTTAACAGAGCAATCCTAGGGGCTGGGGTGGGGAGTAAAAGTGGAGTTGTTCAGACATGTATTTCTTAGATACCCGGGGTAAATCCATTTACTGTGCCAATAATCCAACAGGATCCAGGTCTTCCTGTGTAAAGGCATGGTCTCGCACTTGACTTTATACGTGCTGGCTGGGCAGGGACTCTTACTTTGAAATACGTGCATGAATCATCCTCTCGGTTTAGATGGGGGTGGAGATTACTTGGTCGCCAAAAGCACAAACAATTTTAACTGTCAGCTTTTCTGCTCTTTCGATTTCTCCATATTTTTTCTTGCAGGAAAAATTTCAGGATTTCCCGATTGTTGTTCTCAGCTGGGACCATTTGCTGAATGGAGGTAAGTCCGGAAGACGTCCTTTCTCTGCAAAAACGTAGCTCTCGACTGAAACGTGATCCCGGCGACAGAATGTGATATTAATTAGGTCAGTGTTTCTGAAGTTTTCCATGCATATATACGTATATGATGATGATAATTTGGAAGAGAAAACATTTTTAAGAATGTAAACGTGAGGATTCAGGTACTTCAAAGGCAGGTCGTACAATTAAGAGGTGTTAAAAGTAGCCGGGTAAATTCTCAAAATTTGCATTTTTAATAACCGGGAGACCGCCCATTGTTATAAAGGAAGGCTATGTGTGAAGACAGAATCATTGCTTTGGAGTATTTTGTTTAAAATCCTACAGGATTTTAGGTTTGAAGGATCATCTTTTCGTGTGTGCAGTAGTTTACTGTAGGCCTTTTAAGACCTGCCGGAAGCAGGAGCGAGAGCAGGCAGCAGGAACTATTGTGCTCAATTTCCAGTAATCCTTTGTTAAAACTGAAGCTTATGGGAAGTTGTTGGAGGTTGGGTCCAAGGTAACAAAATATGGTTTACAGTATTTCTCACAGTTCCAAGGTCACAATGCTGAATTTCCTTGTTACCTTCGCTCAATATTTTTTAAAAAGGCTTTTAAGGTTATAGTTTGTGTTGTTGTACTGTGATTGTCCTAGGAATGGCAACTGTATGTGTTTATATTTTGAACTTATTTTTAGATACTTACTTTATGTAACTTTAGATAAATATTTTGATTTTTAGATACTTATTTTTACATACATATAAATAACACCTATTTCGCTGTTATGTAATGTTGATTCCAACATAGTTACTAAAAAGCATCACGTTTTAAGAAATTATACCTGATCTGTCAGACCATTTTCATCAATTTGATCCTGTTTTGTTGCATATTATGCAGACAATGTGTAGGCAGTATATAAGCAGCACATTGTGCTATTTTGGTTTTGTGTTAAACACAGTTTATAATTTTGAACAATAGTTGCAATAATAAGCTGAAAGGAGTATTAATTTGAACAATTAGTTGCAATAATAACATGAACCAATGGCTACTCCTAGAATAGCCCTTTTCTTTGATTTATTTTAAAATATGTACAGTATATCCCACTTTTCTTCCCTTCAGCCATAATAACACTTGTTAAGGCACTCTATATCAAAAAGAAATGCTATGTTAATAGCAAAAGCAATGTAAATCCTAAAATCAAAACAACCCCTTCCCCAAACCAGTAAACTAATGCAGAGGAAATTGTGCTGTGGTGGTCATATTCAATAGATCATATTTCTAAATGTCTACTAGATCAGCAATGTCTTCATGATATGCTGACAATCCAAAGACTGATGGTGCCAAACAGAATTTCCAGGGGAGGAAGTTCTGAAATATAGAAGGGGCAATCACTGGAAGGGCTCTTTGGCATAACTGCTTGCTTTATCTAGAACAGTGGAAGAGGAGGACCCAAACAAGGCTATTAGATGAAGACCTGAATGAACTGGGTTCAGGTCAAAGGATACAGCTGTGTGACTTCATGATGAAAAATGAGATATTGAACTGGAACTTCCTAGATCATAGCTTAGTCTCTGGAGTGTAATGTAATGTCAGGTTGCATCTGACTTACAATGACCCTCATAGGGTTTTCAAAGGATGTGAGATACAGTATTTGAGGAGCGCCATCCCAAAGTGAGTTTCCATGACCAATAAAGGATTTGAGCCTAGCTTTTCTGAGTACCCACTAAACCACACTAGCTCTCCTTTGTTTTGTAGCTGTAGTTATTATCTCTAACTCTACTGAGGGGTTTTTTAAAGCCTTTTTCAGCACTATAATCTTCTTGACCATCAGGTGTTTGATAGAGCAGTGCCAAGGAAAAGATCCATGATTCACAATTAGTGATGTTCATAGCTGAAGTGTACACCATTGCGTGGGAACAGTGGTAGAAGCTTAAGGTAGGAGGTTTGCATTTCTGTTTGGGAATTCAAGTCCCTTTGGTGTAAGAGACTCACATTCCATTGGACAGGGATGCGGAGTACATTCTAAGAAAGATTAAGCTGAAAATTTTCTTCTACTTTCTCTTACATGTAGGATCTTTCACCTGGCAGTCAGTCAGTTTGAATTACAGAAACCTTAAAGGAATATGAATCGTGCCAATAGAATGGAAAGACCAAGCAATCAAGAATCTTCTCGTTTGACTGAAGATGTAACTACTAATTTCCAAGATCTGGAAGAAAGCAACTGGAAACAGGGCAGCCAAACAGTTAGCACTTCTTCATTATTCAGAAATAAGGGTAAGAACGTCATGGACATTTGCTACAGGATGTATAATATGCAGCCTAGTTCTGTGTATCTGTTTTGTGGCAAAACTAAACAATGGTCCTATTTACACTGAACCATAAACCAAGATATGGTGAATCCTGGTTTATCGTGTGTGTGCTGCATTCTGGTGCATGCAGCCTGTTTATCTCAACTGGCTTGTCCTGCATATGGCTAAACAAATGAGACCAGAAATGTTTGGTTAATACAGAGGTGAGAAAAGTGACTTTTTAAACATTATTAGTACAGCAGCACCCAACTGGCTATACTGACTAGGGTACTGTGTAAACGATTGATTGATTGATTTGTTTGTTTGTTTGTTTGTTTAACCTACCAGCCCATTAGTGCAGTGCACTATTCTGGGTAGCTTACAGCAAAATAAAATATAACCTGGCAAGAATACACAAGAGTAACAATCCACAAAATTAACTTTGTCTCATCCTACTTTAAATATGCCATCTGAACTGGGGATCCTGGCTTGCTGTGCTCTGTACAAGCTAAGAAAGATCATAAACTATGGTATAAGAATTCTGGCTTGTTTGGAAGAAGCAGAAGCCAGGATCTTGCATTGGGATGTCATTTCTGATTTGTTTAGTTATTTGTGAGAGAGGGAGGAGCCAAGGAGAAGTAAACAGATTGTGTACACAAGGACCTTGCTCATTCATGGTGAGCCAAAATTTGCCAGGATCCTGGTTTACCATTCTATGATTAAATTAAGTGTGTTGCCATGGTATTGCAGAATTCTTTTCTTACATGTAAATAGCACTGACTGAATCATGATCAGGACCATGAATCAAGGGTTAAACTGAGCCTTGGGTTGTAACACTGGCCGCATGCTGCTCCCAGGGATTCTGTCTGTCTTGTAGTCTTTTGGTTCCCTGGTTTCTTCCACCTCCAGTTTTCCTCCCCACACCTCACACATTGTACCATTTTGTGTTTGAGGCCTATGGACTTTCTGCCTTTTTGGAAATGTTAATGAACCACAACCTTTTGAAGAGATCTCTGTGAGCTACCATGTCTGCAACGTCTCATCTCCTGGTATCATACTGTTACTTATTTGTTATAGATGAAGAGCTTATTTGTTTTTACAGTAAGGAATTATGCTTTGCTCTTTGTGGTCTGCTATGTTTAGACACAGAGTGCAGATATTCTTCTCACTCAGCGAGTCCTCAGTGTTCTGATGCTCTTGAAGAAGTGAAAAGCATTTTCTTCCATGCAGGAGGTAAAAGGAATCAAGACAACTATTCTTGTCAAGAGCAGTTTGGGAATACTTTCAGCAGCATGAACAACGGGGCACAAAGCCAGGCACCAGAGAAAGTGACTCTTGTTGTAGATGGTACAAGATTTGTTGTAAATCCCCAGATTTTCACCGCTCATCCTGATACAATGTTGGGGAGGTAAGCAGCCTTGTTGGCTCAATATTTTTTAGGCTTCAAATGGTCCTTGAGAACTGTGTGCCTGTTTAGTTGTTGCCTAAAGTGACATCTGTCTCCTGACTTGAAGTGTTCATAACAGCGCTATCAATGGCATCACAGGAAGCGTCTGTGGTCCGTTCTGCTTATTTCCACCTAAAGCGGGTCACCCAGCTGTGCCCCTACCTTGACACCGGGTTCCTGACCATGCTGGTTTATGCGGTGGTAGTCTCGAGATTAGACTACTGCAATGCCCGCTATGTGGGGCTGCCCTTGGAACTGCTACGGAGATTGCAATGGGTCCAGAACGTGGCGGCCAGATTGCTGGGTGGGGTTAGAAAATACCAACACATATCTCCCATCCTGGCCACCTTACACTGGCTTCTTGTTCGCCTCCTTACCAGTGTCAAGGCAATGGTACTAACCTATAAGGCCTTAAACAGTTTGGGACCTTGATATCTGGCCAAGCGCCTCCTTCCATTTGGATCTGCCCACCCTATAAGATCATCCCAGGCAGGGCGGTTGAGAGTTCTGACCCCGAGAGAGGCCTGGAAAACAACTACTAGAAATCAGCCCTTCTCTGCGGTAGCTCCACAACTATGGAACTCTCTTCCGCCTGATGTCCGCCTGGCCCCTTAACTGGGAACATTTAGGAAGCTGTTAAACACCTGGCTATTTAAGCAGGCCTTCCCTGAACAAACAGCTGTATGATACAATAGTGTTTTGCTAAAGCATCATCTATCACACTGCCATGCCTCTTGTCTTTTATATTTTATGCTTTTAATTGCAATTTATTGTATTGTATTTGTTTTTACTGCACTTTATGATATATGATTTGTGCCCCAATTGTATTATTATTATTTTATGTATGTATCATTTTGTTATTATTTTGTTTGTTTATCTGCTATAACCCACCTAGAGTGGCCCTGGCAGTATATAAAGAAATAAATCAATCAATCCAAAGCCCTAACCATCATAAGACCAGGATATCTGAGGACATTCCTCCTCCCCATTTACCCTGCTGAGGTTTCATGAAGAGGGTCTCTTGGTGGTTCTACATGGATGTGAGGCCTGACTGGAGTCCATAGGAATAAGAACTTATGCGAACTGGCTCCCAGTTGGCAGAATACCCCTCCAACTGAGGTTAACTATGCACTTACTCTTCTCTGTTTTTGGTTTGTACTGAAGACTTTTAATTTAAGATGAGCATCTCCTATCTGCTATATTTCAGTTGCCCACCACTCTGAAATTTCTGATATGGAATGCTTTCTACATAAAGTATTATAAATACTTTAATATAATTAAGTGCAGCATTCTCAAGAAACAGCTTGCCAATATTTAGATCATTAGATCTTCACCTGCTCATAGTGCTATTTCCTATTAATTTCAGTGTGTCAGCCATGGATTTCTGAGACACATTTATGGACACCTTTTTTTCCTTTTCAGAATGTTTGGACCAGGGCGAGAATATAATTTCACTCGGCCAAATGAGAAGGGTGAATATGAAATTGCAGAAGGAATCAGCTCTACTGTCTTCCGGGCTGTACTGGTGAGGAAGTCCACAAAGTTGGAAAAGCAGCCTTCTTCCTCCTATAATGTTCTTACTCTTCCCTTAAACGTTCAAAAGAACATTTAAGCTTCTTAATACAGTATCTATTTTCCATTCTGTTTATACATCTCAGAATTTCTTGTTTTCTTCCCCTTCCTACTTTTAAGATAATGTGTGTCATTTATATCAGGAGTTGTTGGATTTTGTATGTCTAATTATTGTTATTCTTTCCCTGCCCATTATGTCTGTCATTCATGGTGTTTGGGAGCTTATGAATCTAATATGTTGAGTTTGTAAAGTAACATAGAATGAATTGAGGATGCATGAATATCTATAACGACTTTAAAACTTAGAAAACATCGAAGCCTTCCTCAATATGATGTCCTCTAGATTGGTTGGGTATACTTCCCATTGCCTTTAGCCAGCCTGCCCATTAGCCTTGCTATCTGAGAATGATGGAAGTTGATCTCTAACACATCTGGAGGGAACTAGTGTGTGTAGACTGAATTAGTGGATGAGAGATGGCTTCAGAGGCCCGGGTATCTGATTTTGAATGTTTTGGATACAAGTGATTTAAATAAGTACAATACTTATTATAAGATGGCATGCTTCACCATTTATGTTTTCAGGATTATTACACAACTGGAATCATTAATTGTCCTGATGGGATTTCTATTCCTGATCTTAGTGACACATGTGACTATCTTTGCATCAACTTTGACTTCAACACAATCAAGTGTCAAGATTTAAGTAAGTGTAACAAAACTTATAATTGCTCTACATATTAAACTTTTTTTGTATATACTATATTTTCAGGTCAGAATTTGACATTGATAGAGATACAGTAGGCCTATTTTTTCCAAGTACTATGTAGAGGACTCAAGTGTGACTTGTTTCTTGTTAGGTGCGTTATTACATGAACTATCCAATGATGGGGCTCACAAGCAATTTGACTGTTATCTGGAAGAGCTAATACTACCGATAATGGTGAACAGCGCCAAGAAAGGAGAACGTGAGTGTCACATTGTTGTGTTAACTGAAGAAGACATAGTGGACTGGGATGAAGACTATCCGCCTCCAATGGGAGAAGAATACTCTCAAAGTAAGTGATCAGCAAACATGCACAGGGTACATAAATACATACTACATATTCACTATATACAGTAGTAACCCCATATCCATAGGGGATCAGTTCCACAATCTACTGTGGATGCCTGAAACCATACATATGAGGGAATCCTATATGCATCTGTGAGGGTTGCATGACAAAGGCCACAAGGGGTCATCCTTGTATATTGGATATAAGGCTGCAGCAAACTGCAGCTAAGTGAACTATGGATACTGATCCCGTGGATACAGGAGTCTTTCTGTATTCTATACTGTGTGTGAGTATATACTGGCTGAAATCCTCTTGCATAAGTTACAAATGAAAAAGGATTATGAAATCAGTGGCATAGGGAGAGTTTTGGCAAGTAAAGATTTTCCCCTTTCTTTCTCCTTGCTTGTCTGACTTGCAAGTCATCTGTTTCATCCCATAGAAGCTTTGGGAGCAGCAGGAATGGAAGGATGAAGCTTTATTTCCCAAAATTGCTTCTATGTAATGTTGCAGCAGGAGTTGACTATCAGTTAAAGGTTTCCTCCTCCTGTTCCACTGCTCCCATGTGATGAAAAGGATTCATCCTAAGTCGGATGAGGTGCGGGCAAGAAGGGACAGGTTTTTAACTGCTGAAAATTTCCCTGCTGGTGACATCACCCTTCCACAGATGCAACTTGTGCAAGAGGATTTCAGCCACTACATATATTGATCCATACATAAAATTGTTATATTATAAAAAAAGTTAAAAATACATACTACATGATATACATGGGGCATAAAATAAAGAGATAAAATAAAGATACAAATATATGAAATATCAATTGTAATAAACAAAATAAATGGTTAATTAACCACACAGTCTATAGCAGAGGTCCCCAACCCCTGGTCCGTGTCCTGGTGTCAGTCTTTGGGCTTTGCAGGAGCAGGCCGCGGAGACATCTCCTGCAACCCCCATACACGCATGGTGGGCGTGGTGTGCTTGCACTTATCCGTGGGTGAGCGGGTCCATATGGTGCGCTCATGGGTGGGCATGGCAAGTGCGCCACACCAAACTGCAAGCGTGGGGTTTACCCCTGCCCTCCTGTACACATACCCCGCCCCTCCAACAGTCCCAAAAAGGTTGGGTGGTCTATAGAATCTGGTCTATAGAATCTTAGTGTTTATTGTCACATTTTTTCAGACAGTCTTGTTCTGTTCCATGACATTATAAAGGATGTAAAATTTCCAGGGGAACTTGTACCTCTATAAAGAAACCTGTCGGGATTTTTTTTTTTTTGGTCCTCTGCAAGCCAAGAATTGCCATGTCAGGGGTCTTGTTCACTGCAATATAGTATTTGTAGCAAAATGCAAGATTATGCCCTCAAGGCATTTCAATACAATAATGTGTTCATTTTTTTAAAAAAGGTAGAGTTTTGGCTCATATGTTGATTGAGATGAAGTCAGCTCCCCTTGTTGCAGAATAATCACATCATCTGCCCCATACATGATGGAAACTTAATTTTGGAAACAATGAATACTATGACATGTTGAAGCCAACCATAACTGAACAGTGGCAATTTGCTGCTCTGAGATCCATGGATGGCTTCAGCGTGTCATTATACTCATTCAAATTAAAAGTAAAATTCCTCCTAGTCTTGATGTCTCATGACATAAGCATTTGGCTTTGAGTAACATGCAGATATTTCGGAAGCAACAATTCCTGTTGTGACTATTTTGTTGAATATAGTTTTTCATGTGTTACAGATGTTTCTAATGAAGTCACTAGTGACAAACATGTCTGCATGATACACTGTCTCCATCACAGGAATATGTGCCCATTTTCAGCCATAATCCAAGACATACTTAAGCATGTTTCTGATGCAACCTTTTTTTCCTTGTATACAGTAGCTGAAATCCTGTTGCTTTGTCATGGATGCAGAAGGCAAATAGTATACTTTTCTAGCTGGCAACTAATGAGGCCCCACTGGGATTTCTGAGTGTATGCCAAGCCAGCAGGTCCCGCCACCCTGAGAATCACAGCAATGACTTATTAATTGCCAGCTAGAACTTACTGAATATTATGCTGTTTGCCTTCCAGATGTGTAACAAAGGAACAAGATTTCAGCAATCAAATTTGCTGTGCAGAACAGCATTTATGTCTAAGGACAATTTCTGGAATGAGGCATGTAACAATAAACTGACCAGTTATTCTGTATATAATTATTTATAAAAAGCAACATTTTCATATGCTCTGCATGGTGTTGCGTATCTATCCCTTTATTTATGTAATGTCTATTCCTCATATTCCCCTTGTTTGAAAGACGTTCCAAAAATCTTCTATGTGCTTTTGTTTGAATAATTAATAGCCTGTAAATTTTAACTTTTCACTTTTTAAATATGTTGCTAGACAGTTAACCTTTACTTCTCTTAATATTATCAGAAGCTCTATTTTTTTGTAGATGATTAACGATGACTTCTTTCTCCAACTCCTAAGTCCTGTATAGCTCTAAGCTCTACAGATTTTTCAAGTACATTGAGAACCGGGATGTTGCAAAAACTGTGTTGAAAGAACGTGGCCTGAAAAATATTCGAATTGGCATTGAAGGCAAGTGTTGTTTTTCCTACATCATTTAAACTTTTAGAGAAGGAATTAGCAGACGTTTCCATTCAGAAGTTCCTATGTACTAGTTGTGGTAGGAGCTGGGCCTGTAAAACATCATATGTTTGGTAGGTGTGTTGCATGGGAATGAGGCAACCTTTAAAGGTGTGGCAGGGTCCATCCCCGTGGCTTTTCTTCCCTTCCACCAGAAAATCAGGAGTCCCATTCTTGGCCTTGCCACGTGGCTTAAAAGTAATTTGCTGGCCTACCTCCATCCCTAAAGGCTTATCAAAGACTTTTGGTATCTGAAAGAAATAACCAGATAGGACCACCTTTACGCCATGCCATGTACAGGGATCAAGCTGACTGAGTGAATCTCGGTTCACCCCGGCCGTGTAGCTGTATCCTCCACCATACCTGAGAGCAGTAGGTTAGCTTTGGGGTACATAAAGAAGAGAGGCTGGCATTCAGAGATAGAGCTCTGTTTTCCAAACTTCAGTAGTACTCCCTACCCTGAAGCGACTGTCTCACTTGCATTAAGGGTAGGACTGCCTCGATGTGTACAGTTTAGGGCAAGGAAGCAAGAAAATCAACACTGGCTGAAAATCCTACTGCTTAGCCTAATAAGTTGCAACTAGACATAGGCACTTCGAACTTATTTCCCAATCCCCCCCCCCGAACTGGCCCGGCCACTTACTGGGCTCCATGCGGTGCTTGGCTCCATTGTCATCGTGCCAATCCTGGAAGGAGCCCCACCACTGTGTGGAGCCTGGTAAGTGTTACTCAGAACTGGTTCTTGGGGGAGGGATTGGGTGGAATTCCATGGAAATGAATATGAAGTGCCCATGTCTAGTTGCAACCCAGGTAGGCTCTTTTGAATCCATGGAGCTTAACAGAGGAGTTGACTCACTAAATCCCTGCACCTACTCGAGTTGCAACTTACTACACTAAGCAACAATATTTCAGCCTTGGTTTTGTCTTTGATCTCTTTACCTTTCGTTACCACTAAAAATCAAGTCCTCAGAGAGTAGCTATCCATCATTTCAAAAGCTGCAGTTTGGGAAGAATTGAAATGTCTATATTGTAAGGATAGCATTTGGACAAAATAGGAGAGAGAACACCTGGCTCATGCTAGTAGGTGTTTCTGCACCAAGATCCACCAAGCCTTAAACAGCTTAGAACCAGTGTTGTTTGAAAGGTCACATTTCCTATATGAATGTGCCTGGCTGTGAAAAACAAGTTTCTGAGGTCTTGCTTAGGCTCCCTCTAATGCCAGCAGTGAGGTGGATAATGATCACAGAGAAAGAACCTTCACTTTAATTTTGTGGCATCCCACAAAAAAAGAGGCTTTCTTGTCATCATCCTTGTACTCTCTTTGGCAAAAGATAAACACCCTTTTATTTACAGAGGGCTTCTAGTGGCTTTATTGTCTAGAAGTAGTTTGCAATTTAATTTGGTATACTTTTTTACTGTAATCTTTTTGGCAAACCCAAAGCAACTAATGAATGAAGTGATACATCTAGACTGTTGGTGTGTCTAGACTGTTGAAGCACTCTTGCTTTGTGAAAGAAATGATAGGGCTGCTAACAGAGGTTGGAAGTGGCCCATGAAGACAATGATGCTAAAATAATTGTTTCAGGTTATCCCACCTGTAAAGAGAAAGTGAAAAGGAGGCCTGGAGGACGCTCGGAGGTCATCTATAACTATGTGCAACGCCCATTCATCCAGATGTCTTGGGAAAAGGAGGAGGGGAAGAGCCGACACGTTGATTTCCAGTGTGTGAGAAGCAAATCTCTAACAAACCTTGTCATGGTGGGTGAGGATGTGGCGGAAGATCAGGAGATGCCACTACATCATCCTCCCCAGGTGGATGAACTTGACCGACTAAATGCTCCATTTTCCCAAATGGATCCTGACGTTCTCCCAGATTAATACTCTGGCTACCTGCAAATAGATTTTTGTGTACGCGCTAGATCAGGACTGAATCCCCAGGGCAGCCTGCCTTCAGCTTCTTTACAAGCTGTTCTGTTCTAAAGTAGTTCTGCTCTCTAAATGCAGTCTCTTCAAGCAGGGAGGACAAATGTTATCATTATCTTCTGCTGGGCACTCCCAAGCATCCTTCCAAAATGACACGGACTGAGACTCAGTTATACCTTTCATCCCACAAAAAAAAAGGTCATGTTTCTGGCAATGGAATTAGAAGAAATTTCTTTTAGAAGAAATTACCCAGTCATAAAAAGACACTGTCTTAATTTGCAGTGTGACCAATTCCTCTATAATAGTAATATCATTATCAGCAAGAACAAAAGACAGTAAGTTGCATGTGGAGTGCCCATTCCAAGAACGAAAGCCTCTCTTGGGTTCACAGAAAGCCCCCGGGTCCAGTGAAAGAGGGTAACCGAGCCACTGTCTTACCCCCTACAGCCCCTTGTTGCCTTTCATCCAGCTGCAAAGAATCCCCAGCCTTTCAAACAGATTTTCAGGAGGCTTAAGGACATCAGCAAGAAGGAATCCCAAAGAATGCCTTCCTGATCTTGTTCCTCTAGAGCAGCAGTTCCCAACCTTGGGTCCCCAGATGTTCTTGGACTGCAACTGCCAAAAATCCTAGCCAGCATAGCTAGCAGTGAAGGCTTCTGGGAATTTTAGTCCAAGAACATCTGGGGATGTTCCCAAGGTTGAGAAACTGTGGTCGAGAGCATGCATGCAGTGCTCTGCATCCAACACTGTGGCTGTTTTCAGTGAGGTGGAATGCACCCCACACACTGAGAGCACATGCAGTTTAGCATGATTCTTCATTTCCTTTTTTCCCCCCAGCGGCTCATATGCCAACTCTATAAACTGCTTCTTTATCTCAGGGAGCTGCTGCAGAGAAAAGGAAAATGCAGGTGTGGAAGTGCACACAGACTGGCATGATGGCTTAAACATGAGAGATTTTGAGCATGGGAGGAACATCGCTCACACAGTTTCCTACTTAATATGCAAACTGCTCTTTCTTTGGGATAAAGACAGTACTCTTCAAGAAACCAAATGCCAACCTGCACAACCACAAAATGCTGCATTTTCAATTCAGGACAGTTATTTTTGTCCATATACTATATGTATTTATATGTACGTACGTGTTTACATAGATATGCAATAGTTAAAGAATTTCAGCACAGAATGTTAAATCTGGATCAGATGAAATGTCAAAGTTCTTGATTTGCAGACATCAAACTAAGAGGAATAGCTATATTGACATGTTGCATCTGTAATCTGTTATTTCTTCTAACGGTTCCATGGTTCAAATGTGTTAAACCTACAGCACATGGTTAAAACCACAGGCTTTGTGAAAAACAAAAACAAAAGCTAGGTCCTTTTTTTTTCTCTAGTTAGGGAACTGATTCCTTGATCCTCTAAAAGGGTTGCATAGCACAAAGGGTGGCGCTGCAATTGCATTGCAAAAGTTCACCATTTCAACAGCAGAGCCTTGGTAATCATTCT